CCACCGGTATCCCACAAGAATTTCGCCGGTCCATAGATCGTCATCGATTGTTCCGTGGGATACCGGCCTGTGGGAGGCCGGTAGGCTTCGCCACAGGAGCCCTGTCCTCTGGTACTTACAACCCATTATTAAGTCCTTTTGGGCTTACTATTCATGAATAATAAAAACAAAACTCGAGTATAAGTACCCAGCGCTGCCCACGCTATTTGGCCTACAGCTCAGTACGAACTAAATTACATCTTATACCTCAAATCCATGTCTCCATCCATCCTCATCGCCGGTGCCACCGGCAACACTGGCCGAGCTGTCGCTCAAACGCTGCCAAAATTGATTCATTCAACTGGTACCCTGTCCGGGCATCGAATCATTGCCCTTACCCGCTCCTCAAGCAGTCCGGCAGCGCAAGATCTAGCCAAGATACCCGGAATCGAAGTGGTCGAGAAGAATTGGGTTGATATCACTGCCGACTGGCTCCGTGAGAACCAGGTTGTTAGGGCCTTCATTGCGTCTCACAACGAGCCCAACCAATTTGCCGAGGAGTCCACCTTCTATTTCAACGCCCTCGACGCTGGCATTGAGTATGTCGTGCGAATCTCGACAACGGCTCCGAACGTGCGCCCAGATTGCCCTGCCTACTATGCACGACAACACTGGGCTATAGAGACTCTACTTGGCTCGCCCGAGTTTGATAATTTAAAATGGACGTCTCTTCAACCGAATATCTTCTCGCCACTTGTCATGTCGCCAGCTGCGGAGTTCATCAAAAAATACCGCAAGACTGGAGAGCAGGATACCCTACGTCTGATTCTGTCAGAGGATGCACCTATTGGGATTATCGACCCTGATGAAATCGGTGTCATTGCAGCTCATCTCTTATCCCAAGATGACATCTCCAAGCACAACAGGGCGAAGTACGTTCTGAATGGACCAGAGGACATCAATGGAAAGCAGGTTGTCGACATGATTGAGAAACACATTGGTGCGCCTGTCAAAGACGTAAGTTATAAAGATGTCTCGTTCATCGACATGCTTTACGACTACCAATATGCGGCATCTAAGCAATCAAAAAATGTCATCTACTCAATCAAACGGGCCCCCGAGACAGCGTGGGAAGGAAAGTGCTCCGCTTCTACCACCAGCCAGGAGATTTTGGACCTTGCTGCCCCAAAAAGGTCGCCCGTTGATACTCTGAAGAGTTTACTGGAGAATTAGAAAGACATCATTTAGAAATAACGGCGGTCCGAGGACTTCTAGTTACTTCGCATCTGAATTTAGAGCAAGGGCATTATGTACTAAGTCAGCATCACCCCTACGGGTATAAACAACACTCTAACAAGCATAGCATGTTCTGTAACGTGACAATTTCAATCCTCTATCTAGATGTCTTATTTCATCTTATTTTTCACGTCTTTTATGATAATTTGTTCTAAATCAATTGCTCTATGAAATACTCAGGTTTATATCCTACTAATTTACTTACGCTATAGCATTCCTTATTGAATCTTCCTTCACTAGGCACTCTGAGATAGATAGGTGATGTTGCTTAAAAGTATAGCCCAAAGGGGTCTAATTCCTGTCATGATTTATCAGTGTGGTAGCTAATGGATCTTTTTTGATAATTAGTACGGTAACAGGGTAGGGCCCGGCTGGACTGTGACCGTGAAAAACGTGTAAATTTCTTAAGGGGACGGATGCATATATCAATCCGAGACTCCGAGCTGGCCGGCAGTCTGAGTCATCTAGGACTTGTTCGCTGGCAAAGGTGATTATCCAGCTTTCGGCACCTACTATTATTTGATACATTACAACGAACTTGCTGCGAATCCCGAAAACCTATTATGGCTTTATCTGCAGCAAATTCACGCATGAAGATAGTTGTCATAGGGGCTGGTCCTGTTGGTCTCTGCACGGCCACGGCCTTGAGGCAAGAGGGCCATAGTGTTACCGTTCTCGAGCGGCGACGAGATACACAGCCCCTTGGCCACGCCTTAGTAATCCAGCCAGCGGCGGTTAGGGCACTCCAGTATCTAAAAGGGGCAGAGGAGTCTTTCAGCCGTGTTAGTGTTGACGCAGGGGCACTACAGTGGTGGTCGTATAGGGATACCAAACCCTTTGCGACCCCCGTACCAGCTGAAACCTTGTCACGTGCGGAGCGGAGATTCCAAACTGACCGGCCCTCCGTACAAAAGTTACTACATGAGCTTGCAGTTGCCAATGGTGCCGAGCTTCTTTTCGGGAGAGCCGTGCAAGGGGTTCAAGATTTTGGGGCAAAGCCAACGCTTTGGACAACGAAGGGAGAAAAGTTTACCGCGGACTTAATTGTAGCAGCAGATGGTATGTCTGACCTTGGCATCATGGAAGCTGCGTCAAGTGTACTTATATCTGACTTACCTACCTTGACATAGGTATCAAATCTGCTACCCGCAAAATCCTCTTTCCAGCACAGGATGTCGACCCAATTCCATTGAGAGAGTCTATATTTCTCACAAGCGCACCCATCTCTCAGCTCGCCCAGGACCATCGAATAGCGCCGTGGCTCGAACCAGGAACCAAGCATGGTATATTAGGACCTGATCGGTTTGTTTTAAGTCGGCCCATGCACGGTGGTCTCCTCGGGGTGCAGTTTATTGATGTCAACCATGCGGATCCGGGCCCGGTGGACGGCAACTGGAATACTCCCGCCGATATTGGTTTACTCCGCACGCGTTTCTCTGATTTTAATGTGACAACGAGAGCATTCCTGGAGCATATCCAGCACGCAGAGAAATGGCAGATGGCTACGGGGGCAGAGCTGGGTACGTGGCGAAGTGCTAGTGGTCGTATCGTGCTGCTCGGCGACGCGGCCCACGCCATGTTACCACATGCCGCCCAAGGTCTCAGCCAGGGAATTGAAGATGCTTTGAGTTTGGCTCGCATGCTGCGCTGGGCGTCGAAATCGGGCGGTAATGGTGTTGATATCCCGGTTGTAACGAAGGCGTGGGTCAACTTACGCAAGCCGCGAGCCGACCTTTTCATGAAACAGTCCACAAGCAACGCAAATATCTGGAGTCTACCAGATGGGCCGGAACAGGAGGCAAGGGACGGGCGGATAAGGCGGATGGCAACTCGCCCACCGCCGAATCTCGACGGCGTGGAAATGGACATGGCGGCTGATCGGAACTCGCCACAATTTCTCAAATGGGCGAGAGATTATGATGTGGTACTGGAGGTACGTACCAGAGCACCGTGATATGTGCAACGGGCCTTTCATTAACTTGTGGTCATACTAACGTTACTATGTCCTCACTCCAGGGCGAGCGAGCTATGGAAAAGGTCTTATAGGGGTAGGGACTTCCCTCAGAAAGTCTTGCCCTATTCCGTAGCCCAGTGGACGTGACTAGGTATATACAATCGGTTTAAACATAAAATCATCCGTCACGGAACGGAACGGCTAGCATAACACCATTGCGACGACTCTAGCTCCATTAATTTGGGTTGTGCTCTCACACATGCCCTCGTTTGCTCACGATCATCTTGCAAACACCTGGGCAATAGTAGCAACGCACGGTAAACTAAAACGGAACAATTATATAGACCAAACTCTGATTCTTGAATGGATTCTCTTATAAACCTTGAGAGTGTTACTATATATAGGTTTCAGTGCTCGTAGAATACTTGGATTTTCAAAAAGCAGAGACTTTGTGGTTTTTGTTGAGATATTTCAATCTAAATTTCATGCCTCAACTATGTTCAAATTGGTGCCGGCCGGCTGGCTCGTGAACCACGTAAGTTAAAAGATAGTCATTCCTGATTTTTGTGGGGTTTGCGAACAGGCATTTTCAAATGAATCCTAGCTACTTCACCCCTTGTCATGCAGGAAACATTCAAGGATCTTTTGAAATCGTATGTCCAATTTTCAGGAAGTCATTCTCTTTTATTTTCATGGTTTAAAATCCCCCGCGAGTCTTCTTACTAGTTAAAGGATGCTGTTTGGATTCCTCCGGCACCATGATCTTGAATCACCGTCCCGTTGCTGCCTTGCTCTTTCCGAGTCCCTTTCCTAGATATTCATCACACTCATAGTTCTGAGCTTCTGTTTGAAGCAGTCTCAGGGAATACTGTAGTTGTCAACTTATCATTGCGTGGCCGTATCCATGGATAAGCGGTGGGGCTGATCATCCGGGAAATACAACTTCCGCTTCCGCTGCATGAGGATCTATGGACTATTGTTTTTCTGACTTGTTTTGCTTTTTCCTCCCCATTTTTGAGGCGTCGTTTCTCATGACGATTTTCTCAAAAGATGACATATTCAAGATGCCTCGTTGACGCTCGGACTTCTTAAAGACGTTCCTGTTTGGTCTCCTGCCTCTTTTCGCTCCAGTTCTTCGCCTTTGATCCTCACCCTTGAATCGCTCCACTTTCTCAGCTCGCCCTAAAGGTGAGGACCGATTATAAAACCTGGATTTTCATTTTGCCTTGCATGAGCGGAGTGTACCAATCTGGTATTAGATTGTAAGATAAGGGGCTGGCTTCTAGTCCACGAGGTGCACGGTATCCCCATCGCCCTTGTTGGACTACAACGCGAAAAACTCCAGATCAAATTCCAACTCAGAAAGATGTTGGGATAGAAGTGAACTTCTAACTCTCACCACGAAGCAGGTAAATATGGACGACCTTTCCTCCTTTCTATCCAATACATGGCTCCTGACGCCCGAACAGTGGTCTTTCCGTCCGGCGGGCTGCTACAAGAGTGCCTCGTACTCGACTCTCCCCGGTCCAAGAAATTGAGCTACCGGGTTTTTATTGGGCTTAATATCGTGAGAGATTGTCATAACCAAAATCTACCGAAAGCGGGGTAGTTGGTGTATCGCAGGCCAGGATATCACCGGCTGGTGAACGCAACTCTGAGATCCTCCAAGGACCGGCACCATCTTGAACGCTCTCTTATCACCCGGACGCAGCTGCCGCACGGTTATGGGAATTTCACTTATTCTATGAAAAGGAATTTTAGCCAAGTTTCCATGAAACCAAGCCAAGCTCCATCAAGGGCCAACGAGCCAGATGCTAGCCCGGCAGTCGTTGAAAACACCCGGGGTCGTGGCAACTTCAAAGAAAAGGTAAGCGGGCAGATACTCGATGCGGAGGCAGGGGTCTCTGGGATTGAGGCTACAACTGCAGTATGGGGTGAAAAAGGTAAATGGCTTGTTATCGCCGGGTAAGTTTCATGCCATACGTTCTTTATTGCCAAGCGTCGCTGATATACCCAAAGGCTCGCTATGATAATGATAATCTAGTGAGTGACTACGATAGTCACGTTCCCATGCTGGAATTTTGCTAACCCACAGTCTCAGCGAGCTCGACAATTCCACTGTCTCCATATACAATAACTACTCGACGTCATCATTCAATGGACTGTCAAAGTTAGCGACGCTCAATACAGCTGGTGCCGTGCTTTTTGCTGTGATGAAGCCACCGATTGCCAAAATTTCCAACGTCATCGGCCGTGGCCAAACATACACGATGACCATGTGCCTGTACATCCTCTCCTATATTCTCATGGCATCGGCAAAATCCCTCAACACGTATGCTGCAGGCTACATATTCTATGTCATGGGGCAGTCCGGGACTAATATAATGAACGACATTGTCATCTCGGACATCAGTAGTGCGCGTTGGCGTGGATTTGCAATTGGAGTTTCTTTCACCCCTTTCCTTGTGACGCCATGGATATCCGGCTTTATCACCGAAAGCGTTGTTAATGGAATTGGCTGGCGCTGGGGAATTGGCATGTTCGCGATCCTCATGCCATTCGGTTCCAGCTTCATTATTACCACGCTTTTATACTACCAAACACGAGCCAAAAGTTTGGGCATCGTTCAACGCCAGAGCATGAAGATCTATGACTTCTGCTCCCAGATCGACCTTGGTGGCGTTATTCTCTTCAGCGGTGGCTTTGCGCTGGTCTTGATACCACTCACTCTAGCTGCGACAACCTCCAGCAGGTGGAAAACACCGTATCTCGATGGACTTATCGCTGTTGGTGTGGTTTTGCTGATTGCATTTCCGTTCTACGAGTGCCTGTTAGCACGCTACCCATTCATGCCACCCTCGTATTTCATAAATTCTACCATCAGCCTCTGTCTATTTCTCATCGCGACGGACTCCATCGGCTTCTCCTGTACGCACGCATACCTTTACACATGGGCGACAGTGGTGCGAAACTTTTCAGCCCGAGATGCTACATTCTACAATGCAACAAATGGTGTCGCTTCATGTCTTATGGGAATAATAGCCGGGCTTCTCATGATGTGGACCCGTCGCTATAAATGGTTGGTGGTGATAGGTGCTACGCTACGCCTAATCGGATATGGGGTCATGATTCGTCTTCGAGGAGCATCGAATTCAATGTTTGAACTATTCTTTGTGCAGGTTATACAAGGTATTGGGTCCGGGATTATGCAAACGAACTTGCTTGTCCCGGCGCAAATATCCGTGCCCCATTCTCAGATGCCACAAATCACGGCACTGGTGATTTGCTTCTCATTTCTGGGATCGAGTGTCGGTGCCTGCATTGCCGGAGGCATATACACTAACACGATTGGATCGGCCTTGGAATCTCATCTCGGCGAGAGGGCAACACCAGCGTTGATAAAAACTTTGTCCAACTCAATTCTTAGTGCTGCTCCAGATTGGGGCTCTCTGGAGCGCACTGCGGTGAATTTAGCCGTGGGTTTTTCTCTTCCGTGTTCGCCTTTGGAAGCTAACTGCTGTTGTTTCAGTTTTCTGACGTTCTGAGATTTATGACGTACACTGCACTGGCATCATCTGTACCAGCAGTGATTTTGGTTTGGTTTATGCCAAATAATAAGCTACCGTCAGTCTTTTCCTCATTTTCAATTCGAACAGTAACTAACTAACTGCATGCAGTGATTGCAACAACCTAGTCGAGGATTCCGAAGACATTTAGTTCGAGGGCTTCATGTTAATCATTCTGCAATTAAGAATTCTCGGCTCCCAATCCTATCATTGTTTTCTCAGCAACATCCATGCATGACACTCAAGCATTCTTACAACTAAACAGCTAACAAGTACGCAACCAAGGAGACAAATGGTTTCGGTTGCCAGTAATTGAGATCTAATTCCTCCCGAGGTCTATTTACACGTATTGCGTTCCTTACTTGAGCTTGTTGATTTCCTCCACGATATTCTGAGGGTCCTTCCAAGCCAAAGTGACATACCTTTTGAAAGTCAATGTAAAATACCCAAAGACAAAAGAAGACTTTGTGTTGCTGGACTTACTTGGTGTGGCTTCCTCTTGCGACAACATCACCCTTGCCGTTGGTGAATCGGATATTAGTGTAAGCCAAGGTCTTGCCAACTGTGAGTCGTTAGCACTAGTCATACAAGTTGCCTTTTCATTCCATACATTTGTCGCAGGTCACCTCCTATACACAGGTTAGCATCAATGTCTTTTTTTATAATGTCCGATGTACTCACTGCGAGAATCTTGTCGCCGACTTTACCCCCAGAGTTAAGGTATGTGACTATTTGAACAGGGGATTAGACTTGATTCCTTGTGGGAGTGCTATCTGGCATCGGCTTACCATTCAAGTCTGTAGACACACCCGTCGCATAAAGTCCGCGGGAAGCAACTGCAAGAGATCCGCCAAGATCGACTATAGATTCGGTTAGAGGGTAAAATCGAACATTAGATCTTCTAAAGTTATGTACCCATGCTTGCAATGGTGCCTCCATGGAGGATATTCAGTCGGTTCTGGAAAGGATAGAATATTAGACAACAGCATATACAAAATGAGGTATGAGTTCAAGTCAAAAAAGAAGTCCTGGCTCAATATCTTCTCCTCTTAGGTAAAGTATACATGGGTTATCAGGCACTTACCGTGTGCTCCTTCTGGATCAGCAGTTCAAAGTTGACTGTACCGGGTCGTGCCGCAGTAACTTGGAGCTAGATCTGATCAGCAATTTGATTTGCAACAATCCGAGAATTCAACATCCCCGTATAGACGGCTTACATTATCCAGCAGACTGGTAGTTCCAACATGAGTGAGTTATATGTAGTTGCGATGCTGTGGGATGCTACTTACCGAGGCTCTAGACCCGAAGTAGCCCGAAAGGACTCCCATACCTAGAGATATTGTCAGCAAAGGAATAGAAGAGGAAGTATAGAGGGTAACTCAAGCACATACAGATCGTACAAAGCGAAGAGCAGTCATTTTGGCAATTTGGATAGTTCAATGGGAAATGTTAACAAGAGAAAGTTGGCCCGGCAGTTCCTCGGGGTCGCTCCTCCCGGGAATTGCGTAAAGTGGCCGCTTCGCCCGCCGCAGTCGTTGGTTCTTGGATGACTTCACCGATCATCCACATCGACTTTCTTTCACTCGCGGTCTTTCGGGTCAATCATGGCGGCATCCACGTCCCGTCCTCTCGAGTACCTGGAGGGCCTGCCTGGCACAACTTTCTACAAGCTCTACCAGCAGCCCTCCACTGCTCTCGCCATCTTTCGTCGCATGCTGCCTGATCTGGGTATCTTCAAAGCTATCTGATCCTCGATCGCAAGTCCCACTAACCACGAGGATAGCAAAATGTTTCGTCATGGCGCTGCTGTATCTGAAGGATCCCCTTCCTACGGCGGATCTAGAGCTCTGGGTGCAATCAGAGAGCAAAAAGTGAGTGCGCATCCACGGATCGTATCAATGTCTTTCAGCCTGTGGCATATAGCTAACCATCTGGATTTATCTCACAAAGACAACGAGATAACGCCATCTCGATTCTGGCAAGACTCCATATCCTTTCGAAAACACGGACAGGAGACAACGTTCTAGCATACATGGTCACCAACCCATTCGCATCCTCCCTCCGCCAAGCTCTCGTGGGCTCCGAAGATTCGCAATCCTTCGGTGTCTTCTCCCAAATACCTGGCGAAAGTCAGGTATCCGTCGCCGATCTCGACGACTACGCACGACAACAATGGGAGGGGGTGATGGGTTACATGGTTGGAACAAGTGCTTTTAGTGGTCAACGCGAGCTGAACCTGAGCAAGGGCGTGAAGCAACTCCTTCAAGCGGGCCATTTGGTTGAGATCCGCGACCGCCGCGTCGACATCACCAAGGATGGATTCGGGTTTGTGCTTCAAGACGTCAACACTCAAGTCTGGCATATCCTCATCCTCTACGTGGAAAGCGCCGAGGCGATCGGCATGGACAGTGTCGAAGTTCTCTCGTTCCTATTCCTACTTAGTAGTCTGGAACTAGGACAATCATACGAGAAGAAACACTTGACCTCCAATCAGCTACGCACTCTCGCCGACCTAGCGGATTTTGGTATCGTTTACCAAGATACGCCCGAGGCGACTCGCTTCTATCCAACACGCCTAGCAACCACTCTTACTTCCGACTCGAGTGCGTTGAATAACCCCATTACTGGCTCCCTCACTGGGCCAGCTGGCGAGTCGGGTGGATCGGGATCGGGATTCATCATCGTGGAAACAAACTACCGTCTCTACGCGTATACTTCATCACCTCTGCAGATTTCCCTCATCTCGCTCTTCACCAACCTGAAGTACCGCTTCCCCAACCTCGTCACGGGAAAAATTACCAGACAGTCTGTGCGCCGAGCTATCGAGATCGGAATTACCGCCGAGCAGATTATCTCATACCTGCACTCGCACGCTCATCCCCAACTGCGCAAGCACAATGCCGGTCACGCGACATCAAACGCAGGGGGTATCCCGCCTTCGGTTCTCCCGCCAACTGTGACCGATCAAATCCGACTCTGGCAGCTAGAGCGAGATCGTCTCAGAGCCACAGCAGGGTTTCTTTTCAAAGACTTTACTAGCTTGGCTGAATACCAGGCCCCATGCCAATATGCGGCAGAGATTGGCGTTCTTGTCTGGAAATCGGACAAGAAGCGCATGTTCTTTGTCACCCGGCACGAGCAAGTTGCTGCTTTCTTGAGGAGCAGGAACCAGCAGTGATTCGACACTAGGCTGGCGGCCGCCGAGTGGGCGTCATTGATCTTATAAACATTTCAAAAGGTAATCGGGCTCGAAAAATGAAGCAACATATCCATTGCTCGGCTTGGCGTTTCAGGGAATGGAGAAAATATTCACGAAATCATGATTGCTTTGCAGTTTATACACAATCTTCAAATCTGTACATTATTTATTCTTTATTGCTCTCGTTTCCAATTCGTAGTAGGTTCCAAGGTTAAAATAACGTCCAATGTTTCGTAACGCCCTTCCTCTTGACCTTCCGATGAAAAGATTCCCACTGACCATCATCCCCCTTCTGCTCATAACTCATAAATGTGTCTTCGCCAACGATATCAGGTAAGAGAACCTTAACATCATGAACTCGCGACTCGGCCCGTACCTCTGGCGAAGGCAAATCCGCTTTCCCAAAATGAAAATCACCATCAGAGAATTCCTCACCTGGATCCTGTTTAGAATAATTCTCCGTGTAAGAAGAGCCCTCTTCCACCTCTGCAACCTCTTCAAGAACATCTGCCAACAGCGGGCCATTCCACACGCCCTCCCGGTGCGGTGCTGCCCTCAACAACCGAATCGCCAAGCGACGAATCCTCGGAATACGACACTTCAGCCCTGTATAGTACATCGGTGGGATGAAGCCGGACTCGATCGTGAACGAATAACCCTCACATTTCGACTCGCCATTCTGTAATGATCGATCTATCTCCTTGATGCGCATATTAATCGTACACCAGTATCGCCACATGTCGAAGAAAGTCGTCATCACCGTGACAAACCCACTCGTGTATGCGTCGAAGACCATCTCCCCTCACTGGAAAGACAGACTGAAGCCATGACCACGGCCATTTCATGATATACCCGGAGAAGCAGGAACCCAATCTTTTCTGTCTGAGACTCTGCCTTGAGGAGGGAGATGGATGCATTATAAGCCTTCTTCCAGAGTGACAAATCCGCGACAATCTTGCATTGTGTTTCGAACGCTTTAAAATCATTTTCCGGTTGGTATTCAATGTCGTTATCCTCATTTTCGTGCGAATTGTGTGTATAAATGTATCGCTTCAAACAATGGATCCGATTAAGTAAATCGTCAAGGGTCCGTCTCGCCTCCACAAGAGAGGAAAATGTATAAGGTAGCGCATGAACTTGCGGATCGCGAACAATCACACAAAGATGTGATGGGACATGACCAAACATAGCTGACTGGACCGTCAACCTTGCATACGAATCAATAAGCGCATCATGCACAAAGTCCTCCGCCGGACTAAGTACACCGGGCGCCATCGGCGTTCGCGACATAGGCGCCGAAATATCAGCCAGAAGCTGGATACCGTAGCGCAGATGTGCACTGCCCATTTTGTACTGGCCGCGAAGATACTCCAGCGTAACAAAGAGCATGCAAGTAATGAGGGCGACGCGGAGGGCTTTTTTATTCGACAACCTCGATCCTGATGCATTATTCTTCATCGTTGCACTGCGGAGATGATAAATCGCTTTGTTATACTGCTGCAAAGTAAATCGCTCGGCATCGACGCCATATATAGCCGGGACCCAAGAGCCGGCGCTAATATCAAAGCGATGGGCCGCGGACAAGGCGACGACGGCATGGCGTACTGCGGGCTCCTGCGCACTGGCTTGAAAGACAAGCGTTTCCCAGAACTGAGATTTGAATATACCGGCGAACTTGGTGGTCGTTTTTCTCATGAACCAGTCGAAGCAAGTCTGTTCTTCGGGATCTAGACTGCCAGCTGGTACCGGGGTGCAGTAGATGGATAGTGCCTTACTGGGCTGTGGTGGGCCGTATGGACTGCCCCCACCACCCCAGATACCGTAGCCATCGCAAATGCGACCAGTTGAGATGCAGCGGCGGCAGGCTGGTCTGCTTTCATCACATTTTACGCGGCGGGCTCTGGCAGATGTGTGTTAAGCGGGGACAAACGGGCTCGTTAGGCTAATGGGAGGACTGACTTGCAGGTCTTGCAGCCTGTCTTTACTTTTCTTCCCCCTCTGGACTGTGGTATATGATTCTCTCTTGATTTAGTCATGGTTCTGAGTGATATACAGGGTGTTGTGGGAAGAATGATTCTCTTTGAGAACAAGCGTCAATCATTAGAGGGTGTTGGAGTAGACAATTGGGTGGCTCGCAAACCCTGCTGTATGATTGGCTGCTATTTGCCAAAGCGGGTCCCGTCGTATGATTGGTCGCGCCTTTAAGCTTAAGTCCGTCAGTTGTCTTCTGAAATGTTGAGGAACGGAGTTTACCTTGACCGCAATGGCTGGATGAATGAATAAGTCAGATATGCATCATCTATTCAATTCCATTGTCATCTTGGTCGGATATTCAATATTCCCGAGTAATATTATTTAAAGACCATGGTCCGCTCCGCACTATCGAAGTATAGTTTTCATCACACATCTCTTTAACAATATCGATTCTATAGAATCCCAAGCAACTCTCCAAGGTTATACTATTCACAATTATGTCTCTTCCTCTTCGAACTCTCGGTCGAAATGGTCCTCAGGTCAATGCTGTTGGCCTCGGCCTCATGAGCATCGGTGGTATCTACGGCGCTGCTAGTTCTACCGAAGAAGGCGTTGCCTTTCTGGAACACGCACATGCTACCGGCCAACGCTTCTGGGACACAGCAGATCTGTATCTCACCAGTGAGGATATTGTGGGTGAATGGATCAAGCGGACCGGCAAGCGCAATGACATTTTCCTCGCCACCAAGTTCGCTATCCAACTCGCAGACGGCGCGATGAAGGTTCGCTCGGATCCCGAGTATGTCAAGTTGGCTTGTGAGAAATCCTTGAAAAGGCTGAATATCGACACGATCGATTTGTACTATTGTCACCGAGTTGATGGTGTAACCCCGATTGAAAAGACCATCGAGGCAATGGTTGAGCTGAAGAAGTAAGTTCATCATGATTATTTAGAGAACCCCAATTATCAACTCGTACTGATATGACTCTAGCCAAGGGAAGATCCGATACATCGGCCTCTTCGAGGTTTCGGCTGCCACGCTCCGCCGGGCCCACGCTGTCCATCCCATCACCGCTCTCCAGATCGAATACAGCCCGTTTGCTCTGGATATCGAATCACCTAACTCAGATATTTTGGACACCTGTCGCGAATTGGGAATTGCCGTGGTCGCTTACAGTCCCATCGGCCGTGGTATTCTGACTGGTCAGATCAAGTCACCCGCCGACTTCGCCGAAGATGACTTTCGTCGTTTCCTCCCCAAGTACACAGAGGAGAACTTTCCTAAAATCCTGCAGCTTGTGGACGGACTGAAAGAAGTGGCTAAGGTGCACAACAGTACCCCCAGTCAGATCGCCATCGCGTGGTTGCTTGCACAGGGATCCGATATCGTTCCTATCCCTGGGACTAGGACGACTGCGCGGATGGATGAAAATACCGCGTCGACACAGTCCCAACTGAGTAGCGAAGAAGAGCGCAAGATTCGGGAACTGGTCAAGCAGACGGAGGTCCCTGGCACTCGGTATCATGAGTCGTATGTAGTCACCCTCCCCTTCCCCCTTTACAGTGGAAGCTGACCAGTTTAACAGGATGATGGCCAACGTCTTGGCGGATACTCCGCCGCTGTAAATAGATACATTGAGGTACATAGGTACAGATACTACTTGTACTTGTTCACCCGGAGTCATCGGTACTCCGTCATTGAAATCAAATCCACTATTCCTATATTTTAGCCCCATGGCCATTCCCTATTTGTATCGCCAAGTCAATACTGATCGCTGCGCCCGGCGCCACTAAAGATCCAATGCCAAGTTTCAAGGGGGGGCCAAAAATGCAAAATGGGTTGTCGTGTGGAACAAAGACATTCATGGTTCTCTTTCTTCTCTTATTTGCAAACTGGTCCCTGCATTGCTGTCCCAAGGTCCCGCCCCTCCTCATCTCGATCGATCGTCAAGGGCCAAAACTCCCCCCGATCGCAGACATCTCGGATCTGATTCAGGAGATAAGCTTAAAAACCCCCGGTCCAAGCCCAGCCCAGCCCAGTGCAAATACAGACAGGGTAGTCAAAAAGAGGAGAGGCTTGGGTGGGTCAACCTCAGCCATCAGCCAAGGAACAGACCAGCTTGGGAACCCAACCCCGCGAAAAGTCAAATCTCAAATCTTGTGTTTTTCCTCCTGCACGACATCTTTTTGCCACCTTTTCCTCTCTCCATCCTCCCCAGCTCCAACCGGCGACATGTCCTCGTCTAGTGAGGCAAGTCCAGGTAACTGGATCACCGGTAGCTATACCGGCAACAGTAATGGCGTGCGCATCACCATTGCCACGTTTGTTGGTGTCGCCTGGTACAATGTATTGGAGCTGATCGTGCTTATTTTCCTCACCTTTAAGCGCTATCAAGGCCCTTACTTTTGGAGTATGCTGATCTCCTCTGTCGGCATTCTACCTTACTCTATCGGCTACCTGCTCAAGTTCTTCGACCTTACCTCGGCCACTTGGCTACCCGTTACTCTACTCACTATCGGCTGGTGGACGATGGTCACGGGCCAGTCGTTCGTGCTATATTCACGACTGCATTTGGTTCAGGAGAACCAGCGCATCCTTCGCGCTGTCAAAGGAATGATTATCATGAACATTTTCCTTCTACACGTCCCGACCACCGTCCTCACCTACGCTGCGAACTTCTCTCAATCACCCGCCTCGATCGCGGGGTACGATGTCATGGAAAAGCTACAGCTGACGGGATTCTGCGTGCAAGAAGTCATCATCTCCAGTCTGTACATGTGGGAGACAAATCGCATGCTGCAGTTGAACCGCGACCGAGGAAGTCGGAAGACTATCATTCAATTACTCGCCGTCAACGTCGCTTGTATTTTGATGGATATCGCCCTGATGATCATCGAGTTCATGAACTTCTACATCTACCAAACGACTCTGAAAGCCACCTTGTACAGTATAAAGCTGAAGCTGGAAATCGCCGTGCTGGGAAAATTGGTGAAAATCGCCCACCAGCATGTTTGGCAGTCGTCTCTCACCGGCGGCGGAGGCAACCAATATCCCTCCTTTGTGGATCCGAGTCGCATTGCCTCTGATTTTCATCACGCCCCTGAATCTCTCCCGACTAGCCAGGGTTCCAAAGGTCGCGCGACCGGTTTTGAGGCTATCGACTACCATGATGATATTCGATAAGGAAAAGCAGACACCCGAACATAAGCCAACATCCCAGCTTCCATGCCAATTCTTTCCAACATGGACGGTTCTCTTCGCCCTATTGAACAAACTTTGTTCTGCATGGTCTTGCACCAGTCATCGCATTTCATGGAATATGCATTCCTACGCGGCCGACCTCAACACTGCTCCTATGCCGCCTTCTCGCTGGGTGCCTTGTATCACCATATGGTACAAAGTGAACATTCGCGCGAACAACAGCAGTCTGATAAACTTGGTTAAAAGAAACCATCACCCGGGACGCTAGGAAGCGATAATTCCAGATGGCGATCAGCCACTGGAAACAATAATGATGTCATGAATAATGCCTTTGATACCTAACATCTCAACGATGTTCACCTATTTAGATTTAATATAATACCCTTGAGCTGATAATCAATTACTAAGTGCAATGGATAAAAGTATCCTCCCTTCCCGAACTAGCTATATTATTTTTTCGATCTTTCGCTTATTCCTAACCAGAGCCTGGAGAAAGCCCCAGTCATAATATTCAAAGTGGAAGTCATATTGCTCTGGTGGGATACTCTTTCACGTCGCAAGGTCAATATTTCGGAGCCAAGTAGCGCTCGAGTACCTTTTAGCACTAGCTATCACCTGGGCGGGTACTATGCAGACTGAGTAGTATAACTCTTGAAAACAGTATATTCAATTCGGAAAGGGGTATAGTAATTCACATAAGTCATTCAAACCTCGCACGACCACCAAACAACCGACACAATAGTAAGGTACCATACCATACTGACCACCAGTATAGTAGTATTCTACTAGTATTCACACCTCCTCCCCAAGATATTTCAACACATCATCACTCATAAAGAAAAGATTCCTCAACTTCTCCCCCCTCTTCCTCTCCTCCATCTGATTCTTCCTCATCTGCTTCGCATTAAGTTTCTGCACCTTCTTAGGCGGCGGTGGAGGCGGATCTTTAATTCGATCTCCGTCCGCATCTAGACCGACGCCTAGACCGGCCGTATCATTTTTCACACGGCCTTTCAATGGTTCCCTGATTCCTTCTCGACCTGGTGCTCCAAGACCGCGCCGACTGTCGGGATCCCAGCCGTATGTCGAGAGATATTTCAGGCCGACGCGGGTTCGGTCGAGATGGGAAGGTGGGTGGGAATGGGTTAGGCAGACTTGGTGGGCGAGGGAGGCTTCGTGTGGACGGTCTATTGAGTCTGATTCGGAGATTTCTTTTGATGGGTCGGTGGAGAGGGGTAGGTTGCATATTTCGCAGTGATCGGGGGGTTTGGGGAGGTGGTTGAGGGAAGGGTGCGTGGGAAGATGGAGGTGCGGAGTGTGTTTCGCGCGGAGATGGTTCTTGGTTTTGTTCGGCGGGTGGATTGGGTGATGATGGAGTGGTAGTGGTTTTGCCTTGTTTCTTGAGGACAATCGAGAGGTATGCATCTGCGATGCTTGGACCGGAGGGTGTAGAGGATGGTCGTGTTGTAGTTGTATTCAATTCATGTTCGGATGAGCGTACGAATTGGACTCTTTTGCGACGGATTCCTGCCCCAAAGATACTCTGATCTTCGAGAGGGAGGAAATAGTCCTCACCATCTTCTCCGTCATCTCCATCTTGACGAGCTGCCATGGCCACCACTAGTCTTTAAAGGTTGAAGTTGTCAGTGAGCGTATGAAGGTAGTCGCGGTGAGGCTCCGAGGCGGCAGTGGCAGTGGCAGTGGCGACTGATAAGCGATAAGCCCTTCCTTACCTTAGGTAGGTAGACCTCGGTGGAGCTGGCCACGTCTGCTCTCAACTTGAGACTCAATTCACTCGCGATGCCCATCCCAATTATTGCCCATGGCATCTCAGAGGGCATCTCGGCAATTCCCTATGCCTGGGAAGTCCTCAAAGTCGCACCATGGATTTCTCCTACTCTCCGCGCTGAAATACTACTTCGGCGGAGCCCGCAACACCTCCGAGCGCCTATTAGCCTCGAAAGTGGTGATGGTAACAGTATGTGCTTTCTGGTCCTTCCCAATCCCTCCAAAAAAAAGGCATCCCCAGAAACTTAATTAGCTAATCCCCATCTCACTACAGGGAGGCACATCAGGAATAGGAGCAAGTGTCGTCCGTGAACTCGCCGCCCGACAAGCCCAAGTCATAATCCTAACCCAACAATCCCCCTCCGACCTATTCCTAGTCGAATACATCGACGACCTCCGCCGCCAAACGAAAAACAACCTCATCTACGCCGAACAAGTCGATCTCGCCTCCCTACACTCAGTGCGTGAATTCGCCACGAAATGGATCGACAATGTCCCGCCCCGTCGACTGGACGCTGTCATCCTCTGTGGCGGTCTCGCTGTACCAGCTGCGGCGCGCGGCCAGACACAAGACGGTATCGATGACGAGTGGCAGGTTAATTACCTGGCCAATTTCCATTTACTTAGTATTCTCAGTCCGGCGTTGAGGGTTCAACCTGCGCATCGTGATGTGCGGGTTATTTTCCCTACTTGCTCGAGTTATATTGGGGCGAAGTTTGATTTGGAGACTGTGAAGCGGGATCAGGATGATTCCAAAAACAAGAACAAGAACAAGAACAAGAAAGACGATCAAGGTCCCGCCGCACGATTATCCGTTCGTCCAAAGGGTATCTACGCCGTCAGCAAATTCGCCCTGATGACCTTCGCCCACTCCTTCCAACGTCATTTAAACGCCTACGAGCGTCCGGATAGTCTACCCCCCCTGCACGCGCGTTCTGATCGTTGACCCTGGCCTGACACGCACGCCCGGAACTAGGCGCTGGCTGACGGGCGGATCGCTGTGGGGACTACTGCTATATCTCCTCACGTGGCCGTTTTGGTGGCTGGTGCTCAAGTCGCCGGATCAGGGGGCGCAGAGTATTCTTTATGCGGCGATGGAGGAGAAGTATGCGCGTGGAACGGGGGGTTGGTTTATTAAGGAGTGTCGGGAGGTGGATTGTGCGAGGAAGGATGTTCAGGATGAGGATGTTGGGAGGAGGTTGTGGGAGTTTAGTGAGAAGCAGATTGAGGAGGCGGAGAAGGAGGGGGCGTTGAAGAGGGCGCAGGCGAAGAAGGTGAGGAAGGATGAGGAGGAGAAGAAGGTGAGGAAGGAGACTGCTTCGCAGAAGGCGCAGAGTGCTGGGTCTAGACGGAGTCGGAAGAATAAATGATTGCTGTGCGGGCAGCGCACACCCAGGCATTTTTCTTCAATTGCATTGCTCAAAGCAGACCGAGGTTTATGCTACCGATCTCAGCTAGCAATCATGGATTGCTTTTTACTTATAGACATCTATCTGTTCACGAGAGGTGAAACAAAAATTACAGTTAACTTGAAGCATCCGATTATCCATCTGTACGACCAAGTCAAATATAGTGAAAAAGGAGATTCGTTTCATGTATTCTACCAATTCTATATCCACACATCATTCAGAAGCATTTGCTTTTCAATCCTTCCTATTCCTGGTACCCAATCCCAAACCAAACCAAACATTATTTACTTCTTCAGCGCAGCGAGGAGCTCCGCAGGGGGCTGCTGGCGGTAACCCTGGGGGTTGTTCTTAGTCCAGAGCCAGAGGTCCTCGCAGGCCTGCTCGAGGGTGAACTTGGGGGTCCAGCCCAGCTCGGTGGTAGCGCGGTTAGCGTTGGCAGTGAGGTTCAGGACGTCACCGGCACGGCGGGGGGCAACCTCGTAAGGGAGGTCACGGCCGACAGCGGCGGAGAAGGCGCGGATCATCTCGTAGACGGTGCTGCCCTTGCCGGTACCCAGGTTCCAGGCGCGGACACCGGGGTTGTTGGCGCGGAGGTAGTTCAGCGCCTTCAGGTGACCGTCTGCCAGGTCGAGGATGTGGATGTAGTCACGGATGGCGGTGCCGTCGTGGGAGGCGTAGTCTGGGTGAATATTAGATGATGCTTCCGAGCTTCTCGTTAGGAGGGGGACATACCGTCGCCGAAGACCATCAGCTTCTCGCGCTTGCCAGTGGCAACCTGGGCGAGCAGGGGGAGCAGGTTGTAGGGGACACCCTGGGGGTCCTCGCCCATGATACCGCTGGGGTGGGCACCGGCGGGGTTGAAGTAGCGGAGCAGAGCACCGTTCCACTTCTTGGCCTCGGCCTCGTTGCCGGCCTTGATGGCGTTGTTGCGCTGAGCGTTGATCACGTCGGTGATGGCGGTCTCAACGGCGAACTTGGTGTTACCGTAGGGGTTGGTGGGACCCAGAGGGCAGTGCTCGGGGATGGGGATCATGTCAGGGAAACGGGTGGCGTCACCGTAGACGGTGGCAGAGCTGGAGAAGACGATGTTGGTGACATTGTGGCGGACCATGGCGCGGAGCAGGTTGATGGTGCCGTAGACGTTGACCTGGTAGTAGTCCAGCGGCTTCTCGCCAGACTCGCCGACGGCCTAGAGGGTATGTTAGTAAGAGGATATGGTATGTATAGGGAGGTATTGCAATTGCAATTGCAATTGCCATTGAGGCTTACCTTGAGGGCAGCGAAGTGGATCACGCTGTCAATGTCGGGGTGAGCCTCGAAGACGGGGTCGAAAGCCTTCTCGTCGGTGACATCGAGCTGAACGAACTCGGCCTTCTTGCCGCAGATAGCCTCAACACGGTTCAGGGCCTCAGGAGAGGAGTTGTACAGGTTGTCAGCGACGACAACCTTGTAACCAGCCTCAAGCAGGGCAAGGACGGTGAACGAGCCAATGTAGCCCGTACCACTGCGGGGGGGGGTCAGCAATTGTACACCACATGTTGCAGGTGTATACAGTATACACCAAGGAGAAGACTTACCCAGCGACAAGAACTGAACCAGCAGACATGATGAGAGATTAAGAGGAATTGAAAATGGAGAAGCAAAAACGTGGGCCAAGCAAGATGGGGAGAGGCAGCTTTTAAGGGGAAAAGTAGGAAGGACAAAAGCGGGTGGTGGTGTTGGTGGGGGAAATAAGAGGGGCACCTCGTCATTTCTTTGGTCTCCCCTGGTCTCCTCTGGTGGTCCTCTGGTCCCCCCATTACGCGGCCAACAAACCTTCAGGACCCTTAATTTTATACTCATTTCATACTCATTTCATCTTCCCGGCTACTTTCATACCTATTGATCTGACGGTTAAATTATCCCATGGCGTGCATCTAGGTGACTGGCTCATCTTCTACCTCGGTTCTAATCAATTAATATTCGCAAGGGCGTGGTGAATGGCCCCATGCAGCCATGTCAGGAAATGCCAACTGCCAAATGCAAATGCGATGCCCTCGCCGATCGCTGGCGGTGAACCGATCACCCGGAAAAAGTTGGTGGTGGGCGGTTGCGGTTATCTCACCGGGCAACGATCGCTGGCGAGAACCAATCCCTCTGTCGAATCATGGCAGCCATTGCTCCCATTGCAACCATTAAGACCAATTGGAACACTATGTACTACTCCGTAAAAGAGGACAACTGTCATTCCCCGATCCCTTTTCTCCGGTGGGGAAAGTCTGGAGCCACACAGGCCCACGCTTAAATTAGAACCAATTCGCCGAAACAAGCTTCGGCTCGGGAACATGTACAATGCACATTTAAGTTAGAATTTTCGGGGATTTAAAATTGAAATGGAAATTGAAATTGGTATGAGCAAGACATGAAAAAAAAGTAGTAGAAAAGAAAAAAAAAAATAGAAACAGATATGCCTCCCTGGCAGAGGTATCGATGTGCCCCTCCCAATTTTATGTGGCTAGAGCCAGGAGGAGTCAGTCCGATGTGGAATTCCTCCCATGTCCTCATTGTACATTGTTCGAGGACGGAGAGACGCCCAGATGCGCCCTGGCATTTTCGGCTTGGGAGCGGCCAGGCTGGATGCTGTGCATTCAAGTATAGATCTATCGTGGTAGGCGGCGCATTGGAGGATTACCCACTTCGGTCCCATCGTGTATCATCGTGGTCAGAGGGTTGGCGAGACCCCAATTCCCGAGCTAGCTTTAACCCAAAAGCTCCACGTCAAGGCCAATGGCACGCATGAAAAGGTTGACGTTACCAAGACGCGAGCTGGCCATGTCAGCCGGCAGAGTCTTGCTGTAGGCAACGGTCTCCATGACACGGTCCCTAGTGACAAAATGGTTAGTATATGTGATTCGCTTCATTCCAGTTTACAGGGGTGAGGGGACTCACTTGACAGCAATTACGAGACGTTGCTGCTGCTCGGGACTGGCACCAATACCAACAGCAGCAAGGAACTGCCACACATACATGTCGTCGCCAGAGTTGATCGAGCTCGTGAAGATATCGGCCAATGCAGGCTCCAAAGTGTCAAACAGCACGTTGAACTTGGCAACCCACTGTTGCCAATCGACTTCGGAGGCCTGGCCGGCCTCCTTGACAATCTCGGCACGACTGAGCAGCATGGTCAAAATACCCAAGCCGACCTTGGTGCGAGCAACGGTTTGTACATGAGTCTGAGCAATGACCAGGCCCAGAAGGCCAATGATAATGTTGAAGGGAGCCTCATTGACGTATCCCAGCAAGCTGGGCATCACGGCCAACGAGAACAGATCGATGGACTCACGCATAGCCACGGAGAGTTGAGCCTCGCCGGGAACGGGTTGCGCCAAGTGAACCACATCCAAACTATCCAGGTGGACGACGATCATGGTGAGGATGGTCACGCGCTGCTCCTGGTCGATGTGGCGGAAAATACGGGAATGGCCTTCTTACCCTTAGGATAGGACAAGAACGCAATGAACGGGTGCGGGGTGGTAGAGTTGGGAACAATGGGCTCCATAACTTTCAAGGATTGCCAGAGTTTTTGGTTGAGAGTACGGGCCTTTTGGCGCCATTCCATGTGTTCCTGGATCGCGTCGGCGTCACCCTCCCTTGGGTGGAGGGGGCATGGTACGCTCCATATCCTCCATAGACATGAGACCGCTGTAAACACCCTCAATGTTGGTAAGGATCGACTTGCGGTCACTCAGACTAAGGTCGGAGTGCAACTTCTTAGGCCGAGGTCCCTCGGAGCTGTCAGGTCGCTTGATGTTGAGCATTGGCTTCGGCGCTTTGGCGTTACTGAAGGAGATCTTGCCCAGGCTGCCCTCAATGATCAGCTGCTTGTTCTTGGGCTTGGCCTTGGCGGCCTCAACGGCACGCTGAACCTGCTGTTGCATTCGCTGCATGTGGTTGTCCGCGCTGTGGAAGGCTCGGCGGTTTCCATGGCCACCGATGCGATTTCCTGTTTGAAGGAGGTATGTCTGAGCAAAGTGCCCCAGAGGTTGGTGAGGGTGTTGGCGAGGGGCTCCGCGAATCTGGCTATAGACCTGGTAGTAGAAGTCCTCTGCCAGAACAGCCTCTGGGTCGGAATCCGCTACATTGCCAGCCGCCGCGACAAGCTGTTGCAGCTGGATGCGAGTGATAAAGTTCTTGTCCTGGGGGGTCATCAAGCCATTGCCCCGCGACAGCAAGAATATCTTGTGGTTTCGCTTCGCCCGCTTAGCGTCTTCGACGAGATAAGCGTTGCGCTGCTCTTCAGTAAGATGCACAAGCTGCTGGGGGTCGGTGATAACGGGCAGTCCCCCATTGGGACCCCTTGAAGTCGGCGGGGGAACTTGCTGTTGTTGCTGCGGCTGCTGCGGCTGCTGCTGCGGTGCCCGTTGGTTTGGGGGGCGGGCCAGGTTGGCGCATACCCTGAGGGGGCATGTTCTGAGGAGGATGGTTACCTTGCATAAGATGCGGCGGCATGCCCGGGATACCGGGAGGGGGGGCCATGCATTTCCGGCATCCCGGGAGGGGGGGTGAGGCATCCCCGGGGGAAGGCCACCTCTTTCGAGCTGTGCTCGCATGACCTCGGGGGGGGATCGTAGGGAAACCATCGGGAAGCGGGATATTCTGCGGGTGGCGCATGTAGGCAGATGGATCGGCCAAGTGTGGATGCATGGCCTGCGGCACTGGCGATGGCTGATAGCCTTGGTTGCGCATCTGCATCTGTGCCTCCACCTCATCCAGACTCATCATCTTGCGAGCGGCCGACATGGCTGGCATGGACATGGGCATCGGCTCGGGCTTCTTTTGGGAAACCCCCCAAACGCTCGATTTCGCCTGCAGGTCGGGAATGAAACCGGGGTCGGAATATTTCTCGTAACCGCTACGCTTGGAGAACGCTGGCTCAGGTTGCGCAGCGGGTTGAACTTGTTGACCAGCGACGGGGACAGCCTGGGGGTTCTGCAAGGCATAGCGAATTTGCTCTTCGCCGATTGCATCGGCGACGGTCGCAGTCTTGCCGAAGAAATCGAAGTCCTTGCCGACAGCTCCAGAGCTGGGACCAGCAGGGCCGCCGCCACCGAAAGTGTCGTCGTTGAAGGCATCCTGATCATCATCGAGTTGGTCGCCCAGGCCATCGTAGGTATCCTCAAAATCGATGCTAGAATTTAGGTCAGGTCAGCTCAACTCTTCCACTATCACAAACAATGGCAGCTCACGCGTCGTCATCCTCGAGGGCCCTGGCACGGGCAACCTCCGCGAAAGGGATCGGGGTTCTCAAAGAAGCCCCGAGTAGCGGAGGGACCGCCTTGACGGTCCCTCGGCAGGGTGGAATCGAAACCAAAGAACGACATGCCTCTTTGGACGATGGGAAGGAGGGGGGTGGGGATTGGAGACGGATCGATATGGTGGGGGGAGGTGGGAGAGCGAAGCAGAGAAGTTCGCTCGGGTGGAAGTGCCTGAGGCCTCAGGCACGTGCCAAGAGTGGTAGGAATAACTAGCATAACTATGCAGTACACTACCTAAGTAACTATACTTTTCGTACGAGTATACTAGGTATAGTATATAGTATTCTAGATAATTATAACCCTGGGGATAATTATCTCAGGAATAGATATATCAAGGTAAACTAAAATACAAGCTACCATACTACACTGCATATACTCGTATTCCTGTTCTATGCATACACTACATAATAGTACTAGTACGGTAGTATCACTCGCACTCGCCCCAACTTGAAACTCGCACTGGCAGATCTCGCCCCAAGTGCCCCCAAATAAAGCGGATCCAGCCCTACTAAACCTGTTGGACCCCAAGGACAAGTTGATATCTTTCTAGACCGAACTCCGCCGGATGCCGTCGCCCTACGAGCTTGTGAATAAAGGGGAGCTATTCCCCTCGTACTATTACTATTAATAAAAATACTACTCCTACTACTCCTACTAGTACAGTCCAAGACTTGTCAAACCTTGGCTCTGAATGTCGCCTACCGCTTGGATCCCCTGCCCCATCTCCGTTGCATCTGGAGCCCGAATGTGTCTTGGATTACTTGGATTACTTTGGATCCAGTGAAACCTGGGCGGCTGACCCTGGTCGCCATCGACTTGCGCGTCCATTTTCTTTCCAATCGACTTTCTCCGCTCCGCCTTCCCCTATCGCATTCCAATTTCTGCTTCTGTTTCACTTTTTTGCATCTCCCTCTCTTCCCCTTCCACCCCCCTTTAATCCCACCCAGGTCGCTCGCTCTCTCATCCAATCGCGGATGCTGGTTTCGCCTTGTGGACTGGCCCTAGCTTTCTCGGCCTGATCGCACTACTCACATCTGTCTACTTCCCTGCCTCTGATCGCTCTCCTCCCCGCCACCATGGCTGTCAACGTGCGATATACCAGGTATCTGGCATTAGCCCTGGTGGTATGTCTCTCCATAATACATCATCTCCGGCACTCCCGCTGCAAGGCCTTCATGGCCACGGCTTGTTCAACCTCACGCGACATGGACATGGACATGGACATGGGCTAACTAACACACCTCGCATCAGGGCATGACCTTCTTCTACCTCGTCTCTCGAACCAATTTGCAACTTCCTAATAGCGCTTCCTTCGCTCGCCCTGTCCAATCCTATAACGAATTCAAGGCCAACAAAAACGAGTACCCAGGTGTGAACAGCACGGAACGGGTGAATGCCACCTTTGTGACCCTCGCCCGCAACTCTGACCTCTGGGACATGGTCAAGTCGATCCGAACCGTGGAGGACCGATTCAACCGTGAATACAACTACGATTGGGTGTTTTTGAACGACAAAGAGTTCGACGACGAATTCAAAAAACTGACCACCGCGCTCGTCTCCGGCAAGACTCACTATGGCCTGATCCCCAAGGAGCACTGGTCATATCCCGAATGGATCGATGAGGACAAGGCCGCCGAAGCCCGGGCCGAAATGGAACGGAAGAAGATCATTTACGGTGGCTCCGAGAGCTATCGTCACATGTGCCGTTACGAATCGGGCTTCTTCTTCCGCCACCCGTTGATGATGAACTACGAATATTACTGGCGTGTCGAGCCCAGCATCGAACTGTTCTGCGACATCCGCGCCGACCCTTTCCGCTTCATGAAGGAGAATGACAAGAAATACAGCTTTGTCATCAGTCTGTACGAGTATGAGGCGACAATTCCCTCTCTTTGGAGTAGCGTCAAGAAGTTCATGACGAACCACCCAGAGCACATCGCCGAAGATAACGCGATGGAATTCATCAGTGATAACGGTGGCGAGACCTACAACAAGTGCCATTTCGTATGTTCTGTCCTCTTGATCTCAATCAACATCGAGAGTCTTTTCAACTAACCTGCTTTCTTTTAGTGGTCAAATTTTGAAATCGGCAGCTTAGAATGGTTGCGGTCGAAGCAATACATTGACTATTTCGAGTCCCTCGATCAGGATGGTGGCTTCTTCTATGAACGATGGGGCGATGCACCAGTCCACTCAATTGCGGCTGCGACCATGCTGCGCAAGGACCAAATCCAATTCTTCCACGACATTGCCTACTACCACGTCCCGTTCACGCATTGCCCCAATGACGAGCAAACGAGGCTGGACCTTGCCTGCTCCTGCAAGCCGAAGGATAACTTCGACTGGAGAGATTACTCCTGTAAGCTTATTCCAGATATCTTTTCGCTCTAATGAACTTCTTAGCTAACAGCCCCCAGGCACAAATAAGTGGTTCAAGGTGAACCACCTTTCAAAACCAGACGGCTGGGATAAGAAAGATTGACTTACGGCACTTGGACAGCTGGCCATCTTCCTGCTCTTTGTTAGCGTTTCCTCTATCCTACTCAGCCAAACCGTGCGAATCTGGCTATTCGTACGACTGAATCCCTGTGTCGCTTTCTTGATGCGCCTGGTCGATCGTTGCCGCAACGCTCATAAGTATCGCTCAGTGAGCGGTGGGAAACTGAGGAAAGTAGTCAACACCCCCAGGCCGTGAAGACTTCCAGCATAGCATATTGTCCAAGTTTACATATGGCGAAAATGTCTCGCGGCCATCTTGTTCCAATCTTCAAGTTGTGGTCCTCTCTGCCTTGTGATTATCATGATCTGTTTCTCATTGCCCCCGTCCACATGTTCTATTTTGTTTCGATGCCCTCCATGTTTTATTATCTGGATTCTCGGAAAGCGTTCTCAAGTCTGTTCCTTGGTATGTCTATTGCATGGGGTCACCGGAGTACAAGAGGGTTTCCCTACGGACCAGGAATTTTTGTTCTATATCTCATTGCCTGAGCAGTCGGGCTATTGCATCTAGTTATGAGTTTCAATACAGGAAAATAAAAGCAAAAAGAGAGAAATATGCCAAGTCACTTCATAATAGTACATGCGGTTCAGAAATGAAAATATCGCCTTAGTGAACAGATAGATACAGAGGGGTAGAAAACAGAAAATATGTGGTAGAGAGCAAGCACCTCGGTGCTCTTCGAACGGCAAATCCCGAGCGAATATCCTTCCATGCCATTTAATCAGCAAGATTTATGATACGAGTAAAGTGCAAACCCGCTTAGTTGCCCTTGGGCTTCTTCGTTCCGTACTTCGACCGGGAAGACTGGCGACTTCCAACACCACCCTAGAAAGAACATGTCAGCAGATGCTACCTGCAATATCACTAAAACATGCAAAGATTTGAAACATACCAGATCACCGGCACCACGAACCAAGTGGTACTTCACACCAGGACAATCCTGAGCACGACCACCACGAACATGCACCACACTGTGCTGCTGGATGTTGTGACCCTCACCGGGAATAATAGTTGTAACGACCTTGCCAGAGCTCAGACGAACACGAGCAGTCTTACGCTCGCCGGAGTTCGGCTTCTTGGGCTTGGTAACACCAGTCTTCAAACACACGCCCTTCAACGACGGGTGGTTCTTCAAGGCTGGGGACCGTCCGCGGCGCGCGCGTTGGCCCTGGCGGCAGCCTCGGCGGACTTGGTTGTAGGTTGCGCGGACAATTGGAGAGCTGGAAAATTGGCGGCGGGCTAGAAGCTGGGCCGTTTGGGTGCGGAAAATGGGCTGGAAGTTGAAGCGGCCGGTGATCGGGGTTGCGCGGTGGATGAGACTTTGGGTGGTGGTGGTAGCGGTTGTGAGAGTGCGCAAAGGGGTGCATGAAATCGCTGGGCGCTGGACTAGCGTCCGCAGAGCCCGAAGGGCCAATGGCGAGATTAATTGAGGCATTGTGGTTGTTCGTTCTTGTTGCGGAGAAACGGACTGCCTGTTGCACTTCCCAAAATCGCGGACGAGTTTGAGGTCACGTGGCGACGTCAATGGTTGCTCTCGCCGACCGGAGAAGCTGGACGCGCTGCCCTGCTCTGCCTGATACCATTCGACCTCCGCATCATCGTCAACCCGCTTCATATCATCTTTGTTTCTTCTCCTCCATTCGCACGGCTCCTCTTGAACTCCAAATCGATCTTGGGTCTGCAATTAGTCTCCGGTTTTCATTCACAACCACCATAATGGTACGTTATCAAGCTCCGATCCTTGGCCTGATGCTCCTCGACCACCCTCCGATCTACCCCAGCATCTTCGAGACACCACCATCTATCCCATACAGCTAGCCGCTAGCTGCCTCATCTGAATTAGGTCAATATGGGGTCCATTCGCAAAGCAGATAACTAACACAACACCCCCATAACCAGTCTCTCCGCATTGCTCCCCCATCCGGCTTCGCCGCCTCCACCTCCAACACCAACACCCGCCAACAACACAGCGCAGCCCGTCCCTCAAAGGGCGCTCCTTCGGCCCCGGGTCTCCCTGATACCCTCCGCAACAAGATCACCCTCCCCGCCATCCCATCCGCCTCCTCAACCAACAACCCCTCGGTAGCTGACATCCCAGCTTCGTCACACCCACTCGAAGCCCGCCTGCTCGCCTGGCGCGCTACCCAAGAGCAACTGAAGATGGAGGGTCTCCGACGAGCATACGGTATCGCGGAGCCCGTTCGCCGCGGCATGGAGCTGAAGATCGTCCGTGATAGCACCTTCCGTCCCGCCGTGCTGGGTGGTATGAAGGGCGGTAACGTCCACGAGGATATCCTTGTGCTTGGTGGTCGTGATGCGGAGATTGGTTGGGAGGATATTTTCCAGGGTATGTATTGCATCTGCCCCGTTCTAGTTTCCATTTGCGTTATCGTGATATTTACTAGAACCTCCCTCCCATCGACCCTATTATATGCTAACCTCATTATCTTCTCCTTACAGGCGACGAGTTCCGCGAACCACCCACCTTCCACGATGAGATGGAGAAGCGCCTCAAAATGGACTTTTAAATGCAGCTCTCATGAATTGATCTTTTCTCACGCTTGTTGTTTCCCATCTTCCTCGCCCCCTTCCCCGCGCCAGCATCGCTGTTCTAGGTCGACATGTTATATTAGTCTCCTTCCCGATCTTCCCATGTCTTTGATGTCTATGATAGAGAGATAGATTATCAGAACGGTTGCATTGTGGGTCATCTTTTTTGAAATAGGGCCTGCGATTATAGCCAATCCAATCTATTCTTCCGGCTTATCCACTCGATCATTCTTGCCACTGTTGCTGCGTAGTGTATATGGTCCCCAGGCCCGCCTTTAGAAAGGATGGGCTGCAGTAGATACTCTGTTGTATGTAGGTATCCTATTTATTGAAAGCTCGCATGCACCCCCTTGGTTTGAATACAATTTGTGATATTTACTGGCATCGAACCTTCTGTCCAAATTTTGGAATGCCCTGCTCACTAGGATTGCTTAGTTCCCTGTGTAGCTACCGTTCAGCTGATTCACCAACGCTCTCCAAACCCCCTATCAAGAAAACACCTGAGTATACGATCATTCCAAGGTTGTCCGTGACGCAAGACATTTCCTCATATACTTCCCTCTCCAATCTGGCATTATGCTCCCTGCCCATCCACCTGGACAAACAAGCAATCGAGTACCCGTAATGAGCCAAAACAAGAAAAACATATACCTAGTCTAGCCACAGAAACCCCAGATTGAATCGACCCGAGCCAAGGTTCCAGGGTTCTGGGTCCCCGTAGTCCGCGTCTAAGTACGATTCCTTATCGAGGCTAGGCTTAAACATTGCCAGGGAGGGAGGGGTGACTCGAGTAGAATATGGGAATAGCAGTCATATATGCTACGAAGAGCTAGGATTGAAGGAGAATGTGGAGAATCACAAGGAGGGCAATGGTTCGTAGATACACAAGTCCCAGGACAAGCCATACAGAGAATAAGACAAAGGGGACAAAAAGAAGAGAGACGAAGGGATCGAATGGGTATATAGATATAAGGATCAGGGCGGGACTGTGGAGAAGATGAGGAGGATGAGGAAGAGGGAGAGAAAGGTGCAGGCGCAAGCGCAAGCGCAGGAAAATAACAGTGAAAGAAATGCAGGCAATAAGTGATTCCAACCTGATTTGAACAGGGAACAGTCGGGGAAAGCAGTGGTGAATCATATCCCATGTACAAGGCGAGGCGAGGCGGCACAGCTCAAGACAGACAAAAAGGAGAGAAGAAGCCGTGATTCCAATCGACTCTAGCCCAGAGGACCAGATTCGAGGAGAAGGGGAAGGGGAAGGCAGGGGGGTTCCTAATGGGAAAGAAACGCTCGTGAGATCGATGGGCCAAGGAAGGAAGGAGAAGAAATAAAATGTCCAAAAACGCCGCTTCCAGAGCGTATATTCAATAGCAGAAGCCATGGTTCTGTCACGCTGGGCAAAAGATGTTCCTGCATTTAGACAGCCTTGAGCGAAATGGCCACGATGCCAGATGGTGGTGGGGATTAGAGAAAGACCCAAATGCGGAGAGGGAGAGGGGAGGGGGGGGGAGGTGGGTTTGGTTGATGTTGCTGGAGAAGCGATCAGCACACCCAACGCAAAGGCTGCGATGGTGAGAGCCACATCGCTTGGAATTGGATGTATAGCGTGTAATACACCAGTTTATAAGATGACGCAACGGCAACCAGGGCTGCGCTCGCTGGCTTCGCGCTCGCGACTGTACTGTGCCTTGGCTCCTTTCGCATCTTCCTCATCGACGACTTCTTGTGGCTTTACGGTCATATGTACGACATTGGGGGCATCGTGGTTGAATTTTGAGTCTGTTTCAGATTGATGAGTCCGAGTTCGGGTTGGGAGGGATGAATATTAACATCGGTGAGGGGGTCGAGCAAACAACATACCAGATAGAGGTGACTTGTCATCTAACAATTTACCGAAAGAGATCAAGCGGATAGAGCTTGGTGACGAAGGACGAGTTTCCCAGTCTACGGAGAGTTAGCATCACATTCTCACCATCCACAGAGATTGATTGTGCAGGCGAACGAGCCCCCTGCGCGATTTATTAACACTCACCTGATCGCCACTCTCGCCAGATCAATTCCTTCAGGGTATAGACGCTGATGGCAAAAGGATCGTTGTTCTCGACGGTTATCGCTCGCTTCTTGAGGTACTTTCCATCGATTGTGAAAGGGTGTCGCGAACCCGTCGTCAACAGCAGGGTAATGTGGAGCGAGGGACCGGTATCCTCCATCTCCTTCCTGAAACATCCTCTGACTGTTCGGACGAATGCTCGACGTCAGGCTTGGTCTCTTGGGTATCCATTGTCGGTATATCGGTAGGGTGAGGCTGCGCGACGGGGGGTTTGGTTGTCGTTTACGGGAGTGGTGGTGGTGGTAGTCGTTGCTGTCATGGGGGCGACGAGGGAGTCGCCACCGCTGGCGGGGTGGTTCTCGTCGACCGCAGCACCTGACTGGGCGTCTTTGGCTGGGGCGACAGAAGTAGTGGCTTCGGTCTCGACCTCGGACCCGGCGACAGGGGGGTCAGCACTTGTGGGAGCGGACGGAGGCTCGTTGATCGCGGTCGCGGTCGGTTGGAGTTCAACATGCTGCGGAGAAGTCGTGGCTCCGGGCACCCCAGACTCCGGGTGATCGCTGGAGGACATGACTGGATGGCCCCGATGGCAGACAATTAACTTTCCCGGGAGGCGGGAAGAACTTGTCAGCGGGGGGAGGTGGAAGTGGGAGAGAAAGAGAAACAGCAGAAGGTGGTAGAGGCGAAGAGAGGAAGAGGAGAAAAGAGAGGAGGAGAGAGGAGAGAGGAGAGACAAGGTGAGGAGTCGACTAGAGCGGGAGGACGTGCAATGGTCTTTTTTTTCAGGCCTCTTTTAGCGAGGGAACACAAGGAAACAGCAAGTTGCGAATACTGTACAATGCGTGAATTTTGTATAGATCTCAATCAAACGACAGAATGGAAAAAAGAGGGAAAGGAGAAAGAGTGGTGAGGAGAGCAGAGGAGAGGAGATCAGGGAAGATCGGCAGACAAAGACTACAGTGGAACGGGGCCAGATCACTCTCCCATTTATCTCCACAGTAGTATGATGTATACTAATCCTGGGCAACTTGAACTAAGAACTTAGCTTTACGAAATAATTAGAAGATAATTCAAAGACCAAGACCAAAGACCAGGGCAAACATTGGGATGAACGGGCGGAGGAGGACGATAAGGAAGATCCGGGGAATCTCAGCCCTGAAGCCAAGAAACAAGGTCAGCCCAGCCAAGAACCTTGGAATACGTATTGGCATGCCTCGGAGATAGGAATTTAGATGCAGATGTAGTTGCAGATGCAGATGGGATGGCTGGGGGATTGCATTGCATTGACTTTGTTTACTTGCTGCTATACTCTCGTCATGCTCCCATCGTTCCAGAAGTACGACTACACTGGTATATAGATACGGATTACCACCATTCTAGGTGCTTGTCATAAAATCTGTATCATGAGTATGGTCTACTTCTCATTGATCACAAGGACATCCCGAAATGAAACCCCCGATTGAACCCTCCACTCCCAGTGCAACTCCATCCAGGCCAAAACGAAACGCCGACAAACAAATCGAGTCGCACACGGTGAGCGGTTCACATTTAGTTCTCCCCCGTGGACAGTTGAGCTCCGTCATTTCATGGCCTCGTGCCGCATATGCAGGGGGGGGGAGGCACACGAGAGCCTGGAGTCGAGGTATATGGATGGATAATGCACGCAGAAGAAGTACGGATAGGAACGCATGGACGATGGAGGATGTGAACTAAAAATCCGAATCAAACACAACCGGATCATACCGGACGATCGGGCGTGAGCTCGGCATGCTTCTGCTTTCTCAGGTGGGCCGGGGTGGAGCGCCGTGGACAGCCTGGGCCAAAATATAACAAGTCGGTGGCCAGGGGAGGAAGGACGTTTGTACTGGCGCCGATCCATGCGATCCAGGTTCGGTTGCCTTGTTGACTTGCGGCCGGTAAAAAAAAAAGATATCAATATCACCCACCCCCTTTCTCTCTTAGACCCAACCGGCGTACTGCTCGAGGACCTCGTTCTTCACTCCCTCCGACCCGTGTCGCACGCCCAGGAGCCTGACATTACCGATCTTTCCTCCAAAGTCATCTTCCACGGCACTTTGGTAGTTTTCAAACAGCTCCTTCAGTCGCGAGATCACCGTAGGGTCATCGCGAATCAGGAGCGCAATGGCATCGTATCCGCCCGCACCAGGAACCACACCACCAATGACACCATCAATAGCAGTCACTCGGTCCAGTAATTCGGTCTGCACACTGGGCTCGATCGGGACATCTGTTCGGCGGGTCATGGTGCGAATGTGATGGCGAGAGCGTTCAAGGAAGTTGTGGATTTCGGCAAAGTCACTATCAGTGATGGCATCCGGGTGCTGTGCCAAACGCTTGAGTTCTTGCCGCAATCGCTCATTGTTATTTTGAAGACTGGCCCAGAGCACATCGGCTTCATTGCGGTTGTTCTTGCGCCACTCCAGGACCTTTTTAACCATCGACGGGGTTTGGGAGCCGCACTCCACGTCGCACAGAACCATTTGCATGCCGCGCGGGAGTTGCATGCCGAAATCCACGCACTCGGTGTCCCAGGGATGCGCGGGATCCGCATCCTCGACCACAGCAAACAGTCTCTCTTCAAATCCAGCAGATCCTACTTCTCCAACAGATTCCAGAATAGCGGGGGAGAATCGCTTGTATAGACATGATCCGTAGACAGCGGAAGCCACGTCAAATCCGGAGCCGACCTTACCCTGCGCCGCACAGTGTGCAGCCTGAGCCAAATTGTGAAGCTTGTCGCGGCCAGCTCCCAGGTCGCTGGCTTGCATGGTCCGGTGGATCACCAGAGACGAGACAAGGGCAGTGACCAATGCGGCGGATGAGCCGAGACCTGTCTTGTGGGCGTCCTGGAGAGGAACGCCGAAGTTGGAAAAGCGCGCACTTTGGCCCTTGGCCGCAGGGCCCTTGGAGGTCGCTGTTTCCGAGTAGTAGTCGTTATCCGCCAAGATGGTGACCGACAGTGAACCAAAGTCCTTAGAGTCAGCAACGTAGCTGATGTAGGTCAAGGCGTAGCTCAGAGAGGTCTCGACGAAGGGATTCCGGGGGCTATTAGATGAGAGATTGTTAGTTATAAGGGGCTTTTTTTTTTCTGGGATAAAACAAAACAAAACAAATTGCATCGTACCCTGTGCCTTTCTGGACGACTTTGACCCCGCCGCCATTGTCGCATCGCTGCACACCATATTCCCAGAGGGCATCGACGAATTGTGGAGAGCGCACAACCACCGTATCCTCTGCATCCTGGTCCTCGACCACTCCGGTGGTATTTGACAGGACATCGGGGACGAGGCCAGTGGGTTTGGGGTCGGTTGTTGACCCCGAGGTTCCACGGCGGTGACCTCTCCTTAATTGTTGAACCACCACGTGGATACGCGCATCGAGGGCGAAGACGGTACCGGTGTAGTTACGGTCGAGGACAAGATAGCCTCCAGTCAGGAGGACCTTGCCCGGCGCGGAGAGAGCCGTGACTGAGGTAGACATTGAAAGTGTTGATGGGGGAATTTTGGAGAGGAAAGGCGGGGAGGTTCCATCTTCTGGAATGTTTTTGGTGCCCCGCGTACTCTCCACCACTACTACTAGTACCATAGTAACTACTACCACTGCTACCACCACTTTCTACTTTCCACTTCCAATCCAACAGCTCTGTACTTAGAAGTCTCGAGATATGCTTACTGTTATAATACCCTAAATCCAATCTACCGACTTGAACTGGGGAAGTGAAAGTTTGCTTGCACTTGGAGTAATAGTATATACCTAGGTACCTATACGTAACATATTTCCCATGCAATGTGGGACTTTCCTATTCTAGGTGCCGCTGCTTTAATGAGGGCGCTCAGAATCAGACTCACTGAGTAGATCTCAGTGTCCGGGCTCAGACTCACTGAGCAGCTCAGAGCAAGTTATGTGGTCAATTAGTAAGGCTCTGAGCATCTCTGAGTGATCAGTGATTGTCGAGATATGTTATGGTGAAGATGTCTGGAAAGAGATGAAAAGAGAGTTAGGCTCCCGACTGATTCGATTCTCCCTCTGGAGCAAGCTTGAATCCGTCAAGCTGTATCTCGAGGATGATGAGGACCATCAACTATCTAAGGAGGTGTATCCTTTACGTTCGGCACCCATAATTCTTTGTGAGGTCTGGTCTTCATAAACTTGGCCCTCAAGCTCAGAAGGACTATGGAATTTCTCAAGATCTAGCTTTAACGGTGGCCAGGCGTCTAGCTGGCCATAGGAAGGATTTCACCGTCCACTACTTCCAAACTTGTTCCCCTGTCAGGTGGGAAATCAACTTACTAGGGAACAGAGGGAACAATGTAAGGCAAACGACCGGGAATTCCTTAACGCTTTGAGAAGGGTCTTCCCAGAAAAGTATCAAGAAAAGCATCGTCGGAAAAGTGAGAAAATCCAAGAAATGACTAGAATACTTCACTCTTTCGCGGGACCTCTACAGCCAATGATCAAGCTCAAGCTCAAACAGGAAATACTGCAAGATCAGCTGGTAAGCTAATCGAAATACTTGGTTCCGGTAAGCCAAAGCTAAGTGATTTACAGAAAAGCTTTGAACAAGAGAGAGCTCAGGGCCTGGCAAATACCATTTTGTCTTTCCAAAGGGTCTATCAAGACCTTGTTGATAGTGAGCTTCTGCAATTATTCGGCGGCTCGAAAACCTCCCCAAGCACGACACCGGAAGAGTTCAGCTGGGAAGACCTTCCACGCCAGCTTATCGAGTAGATGTAAGCCCAGGCAGGTCTAAGATTAAATAGTGAATCTATATCGAATCGAGATACGCTGGAAACAGTCTTTCAACATCTGAGCTGGAGGAAAGAAGATCGCAAAAGTTTACTTCCTTTGGGTACATACTCTATCACTTCCCTTGCAGTCACTGTAATACTGCAATATCTCAAAGAAATTTCGAGGCCAGGGGGTCAAATAAGACGAAGTAGGACAGTTCCTGGGAGCCCTAACAAAGTAATCCAAAGAAAGTACTCTGTATGCCAAAAGCCTTCTCTGGATGATGCTTTCCCGCGTTTCCAAAAGGATATTCCGGGCAAATATGTCATCACGGAGCATGAGAGAGCAACTTGTGGTCGGATAGAATATCGAGGGAGAAATGTATCTCTTGTCCCTGTGAATCCTCGACAGGACTACACACGTTTACGGACAAGAGCTTTCAAACAGACCCCCCAAGGGAAGAACGAAAAAGACCCTATCAACGTTCTGCTCCGCTCAGGGTCAAATTTGGAGAATTGTAAAGTAGAGGTTCGGGTCCGATGTTCGAGAAAGTCATGTAGGCATGAAAAAATGCATCGGGGGCGTTGGACAATCCATGACCCACCCAAACTTTTACTCCCCCATCTAAAATGTCAAGTCTAAGGACATGGCACCGGGTATTTTCGCTCTGTCGATCCCAAAATCCCAACAGTAACAGAAGCGGCCTTGTATGATGTCTTAAGAAGATTCAAGTCTGTTGGATGTGACCTTATAGAATACCCAAAACTTCCAAACACCATTTTCGCTCAGAAGCTTGATTATCGCGAGAGGTTCAAACTTCTTTAAATAGTTAAACCCCAGGCCTAAGCAAGAGCTTACTTACATTATTGTCACTGTAATGAACCCGATGGTTACTATGACTATTGCGGCACTGACGCCTCAGGTGTTCACCTAGGCATCTATGCCCATTTGTATAGTAGACTCTTCTTCTTGCTCTCCTCAATCTTTTCGTTATTGCTACCATATTCCACTTACGAGTGTCTCGTGCCTGAGCTCCTTACAGTCACTGTATGAAATCTAATATCAACTAAATTTATCAAACCGCTCGATGCTCCTACGTCTGCATATCTACTAACTAGTAATTATTATACAAGCGACATTGCGCCTCCCGGCCTGGTTGAATGATAGGAGGATATTATATGTATGGCACCTGGCCATAAGAATGGGAAAAAAAACAAGCTCGACAGCTGCAGGATTCGAACCTGCGCCTCCGAAGAGAATTGATATCGGGTGGACAATTTGAAATTGCAACCATTCGAGTCAATCGCCTTAGACCACTCGGCCAAACTGCCATATCTTATGTAATATTCCACATTTGCATCCATGAAGCAATATATCTCTGGATAGACCACTTTGCCGCAGAACACAATAAAAGCCAGACTGTCTTATATTATCTTGTGCCATAATTTTCAGGGCTCTTCTCAGTTGAAGGTGGCAGACTCCAAGATACTCTCTCATGTGGGTCATATATAGAATATTTATTACCAGGTGAAATCTCCCAAATATTAGAGTGAAGCCATTAGCGATACATAGATTTCCAACTCATAAAGCTGTATCACGACGTTGTTTAGACTTAGTACTACTAGTATGGTTGGTTGTACAGTGGATGGTCCACTCGGCGGTGAGGTACGTGGAGCATGGTCACAAGGCAGCAAAAAAAGAATTCGACAGCTGCAGGATTCGAACCTGCGCCTCCGAAGAGAATTGATATCGGGTGGACAATTTGAAATTGCAACCATTCGAGTCAATCGCCTTAGACCACTCGGCCAAACTGCCTAGTTGATCAATTGGCCCAATTTTTGCTTATATAAGGTAAAAAGGCTTTCCCTCATCACTCCACATGTAACGAACTGGGGTTGTTACCATTCGCGGATGCCTGACGCAGATGGCATCAACTTAGGCATCCACGCCTACATGTACTTAGTTCTATCTCAGCTTCCTCCTTCTCCTCAAGCTATTACTTTCGTCGAACAGCTACTGTTTCCTTTGCTTGGTATGCTACGCCGTACGTTGATCTCTGTGAGCATCTGAGCATCCTCACACTCCACATCCAACATGATAATGGAATCTTCCAGTTCAACCTGAAGGTGGAGTGTAATTGCGGCAGGGATATTTACTCGACAAGCCAAATATCCAAAACCTGCAAAAAAAATACATACCGCGGTCTTTGTGTGTTCGTGGCCACCTATCGCCGACGATATTGTCTTAAGCGGCTCGCAGCCCTATCTGGTACCTGTTCAGTCCCTCGCCCGAAGAGCTAAAGCCACGTGCGAAAATTGTATCTAGAAATTTTGACAGAGAAAGATATTCTCGCTGTATTGCTGATGCTTCTGGCTTGAAACTGCGGATGGTAAATGTTCTGTCTTGGCGGGTGTCGGGATACACTCTGAGGCCCTCGTCGAGCCAACACCGCCACACTGCGTCCAGTGTGTTTCCGTTGTAGAGCCAGCGGCTCCTGTTCTAGAGGTCGCTGTAGTGGTGACTGTCGATGTAAAGTGTGCGGCACTGGAAGTGGCTGTAGCGCCACCCGAACTATCTGAATCTGACTGGGAAAAGTGGTCAACGTGCCGGGCGTTGATTTCGTTTGTCTCATCCTGAAAATCATGCTTGAGACAGTCGCGCGTATAGAATGTAGCTAGTGGATTCACAAGTAGCTCGTGGCTATGAGCACGTGTTAGAATCTATCACACACCTTAGGGGCCTCGATTTTCGAGGGAAACCCAAGCCCTTGATCGCCAGGCGGGTAGATAATCTCTCCCATTGGTAGACAGATGAGAGACAGCCTCTGTTTATCCTAGTTATCCCAAGTATAGGTGACGGATCTCATTAGTTCAAATCAGACATAATATGCAACTATAGACTATCTGAGCCGCAGAGACGTAAGAGGCAGAGTAGGGTATGAAGCACTGGCGAACGACACCAGCCAAAACAGAAATATACATCAGGGTTTAATTCCTCCTACCTTGGCCCGTACTGATATCCTCCCCATACCTCAGCACATGCTAAATACTCCCTTGCCATTTGGTGCAAATATAACCTTCAGACCCATTGTGACGGCGGTAAGACTCTAAGCCCCTCATTCTGAAACAAACTACTAAATATATTCCACTTCTAGATAGCGGATCAAACATCAGATTCAAGTTACGGTGGCAAAGTCGAAGAAACAAGTGTCGCTATGAAAATAGATACAAAATCTATGAACCAACTCTCTTCTTCCGGAAAGGCCGCACAGCAAGGGAGAGGTAGAAAGGTAATGACAAACCTCCAGGCTACAGCAGAGTAATTAAAATTAGACGAAATTACTAGCTAGGGATAAAGCCAAGCCCAATCCAAATAGTTACAGAGAAAAAGCGATCTAGAATCGGAATAGCTATTACAGAGAAATATCATATCTTTCTTTATCTTTGACTTATACTCAATCAAACCAGCTGTATCCAAGAAACAGTATAGTATAGTACACCACAGAGTATAGAGAACAGATTTCACACAAATAGCTACCAAATTAGCTTCTCCAAAGATTATCATTCACAGGCCATAAACCTAGCCCATCTTAAAGGTAGTACATACGACCATAGGGTGTAGACTATAGGGAAGTAGAAAAAGAAAGTAAAGGTAATAATCAAAATTCAAGCTCCTAGGAGTAGCAAAGTGTCATAGCCTTTTTGCCTGCTTATTGGCCACTGCAAGAAATCTTGCCCTATCTCCAATTGGGAGAGTCATAGGATTAATTTTCCCACAAGATCATCTTTGCCAGTAGCATTCAGCTGCAATGAGGCTATTACAGTACTACAAACTACTTCTCTGTTGAATAATTTGAACATATGTAGATCTAATTAGAAGTTGTAGAAAATTAGCTCTCAAGCTCTCTGGCCTTTGACCTCTGCAGGAGGCAGCATACTAAGAAAACTTGACAAACTGTTCCTAGGAGCTTGCAGACTGCAGCCAGAATTTCATTCATAGGATAATGAAGTGAACTGTTTGGTGTGTTTGCTCCCAGGAGCTAATCTTGCCATACAAGTTTGTAGCTGTTCATGATGCATACCTTTTTTTGATGACCTATTTGAGACATTCTAAAAATGGCGAGGGACTTTTGTGAGGGGTAACGCATTGCATTTTATTAGGGTGCTTAAGTCAGACTGCTGGCTCTCATGTAAGCAATGCTCAGAGAGCAAATCAGAGCACTCAGATCAGGCTCACTGAGCAGATCAGAGTGATCAGAGAGCTAGATCTACTCAGTGAGCAAAAGCGGCGCTCACTGAGCACCAAAAACGGAAGGGGAAAGCCAAGACTTTTTGCATGGGAAATCCGTTACGTAGGTAACTTGAATAGGGTAGACGAGAGATCTGCCGATGGGCATGCAATGGCAGGAGCATCAGAGTCATGTGATTTGCTCTATAGATGTAATCGCAAATTAATACTAATATCTAAACACTCAATTATCATCTTACCATTAACAACTCGAATATATTCATGCAAAACTGGATAACCGCAATGGGAAGTGGAGAAAGAACGAGTGGAGATGCACCACCAACCACTCACCACTCACCATGAGTCAACATGAATCACTGAGGGTTTGCCCCGCGTCATGAATACTACCGGGGTAACCTTGGAACTTGGTGAAGAATTGATAGCCACAACCTAAGTTTAGATCATTATAAATAGTTTAAAGCTACAAGACGACATCCTACTCATCCATCACACAATTCCCCTTCTATCAATCACAATTTCCAGCCTATCTCATCAGCACAATTCCGCCACCTCCACCATGGCACCCAATACTAGCATTGTCTTCTATGATATCGCCATGCGACCTCCCGCAGAGAAAAATGCCTGCTCACCAAACCCCTGGAAAGCCCGCCAAGCACTCAACTTCAAGGGTATCCCTTACACAACCACATGGGTCCCTCTCCCCGAAGTAGCCAATGTCCGCCAAAAGCTCAAAGTACCAGCCTGTCGGAAAT